GGAATTGAACCAAATATGGCACACAGAACTCCCACGATGAACAGAAAATATATATCAGTGATTGGTTGGGGGGGGGGGGGGATACTGTTTGCTTACCGTTGAAAATTACCTAGGGCCGCCTCTGGCCACAGTGCAGGTCTCTATCTAGTCCCACTTTACTAAGAAGTCCCTTCTTGGACTACAACTCCCATAGTAACATGGCGTCCTCTGTATAAAGTGGCAAAAAAAAATCAAGGTTTGCCTTCTGAGGAGGTATTTTTAAAGTATACATATATTTCCAAGCCATGGGCGGTGGGATCCGCGGATACAGAAGCCGCGGATACGGGGGCCCGGCTGGACTCCTCCCCAAATTTCTCTCCGCTCCAAGGCAGTTCTGTCTGGGAGCCTGGCAACAGCTTGCCCCTCCCTCCTCACCTGGTGACCAGCGTCCTCCTTTTGCCCAGGTACCGCAGAGCCATGACGCTGGGCGCGAGAAACATTGGCGGAGGGCGGGGCTGCCTTGGCCGGCATGGAAGGAAGGAAGGAAGGAGCGCGGGAAGGCGTCCAGCAGCCCTGGCCCCGGAGCAAAGAGCCTCCGTCAACCGCGCGCGAGGCGGCTGTGTGGGGTTTTAAAGGCGCCTCGCGCGCCCGGAAGGAAGCCCAGGAGTTTTGCTTCCCCTCTTCCTTCCTTCCCTCACTCCCTTGCCAAGGACCTCCCAGGAGTCCTATTTCTTTAAATCCTGTAACTTACCTGTTTTAATAGGAGCCCCCCCCCCCCGGTGATGCAATGGGTTAAACCCTTGTGCTGGCAGGACTGAAGACTGACAGGTCGCAGGTTCGAATTCGGGAAGAGCGTGGATGAGCTCCCTCTGTCAGCTCCAGCTCCCCATGCAGGGACATGAGAGAAGCCTCCCACAAGGAGGTGTAATGTAAAGTAAACCATGTGTAGCTCATGTTTGATCAGCCAACACACTGCCTTGCCAGAGAAAGAAAATATGCCACACAGATGAACAGTAAAGAACAAGTAATTTACTCTTCATAGTTTAGAACATATGTACAATGTGATCTCTTGCATCAACTCACATAATGTCCTTTTGAGAGATTTAAAATAGTATTTCTTTGTCCATGTGGAGAAACTCCTTCAGCAGCTCATGATGCGAGAGCAGACTTCAAACTGTGTCTCTCTGTGCTTTTCTCTTTCTTCTCTCTGCATGTGCATAGCTCAAGCTTGAACAAAAATGTAACAGTAACCAAAAGTTCCAGGCTTAGCCATCTCCCCAGGCGTAGCCCGACCAATCAGTTTCATGCATCTTATTTTACAGTTGACACCCACACGTTAACTGATTCCTCTTGCATGCTCCAACAATCTTCAGGTAAGTCACTCTCTCTCAGCCCCAAAGGTAGTCAAGACCAAACATCCGCTGAACAAATCATGACCCCAAGGCAGCATAGGGCACACAACAACAAAGGTCCTCCCACACAGAGTATTTCATAGATGCTTGAGACTTAAATGGGCCTCTTATGAATTCTACATAGTGTGTGTGTGTGTGGGGGGGGTGCATCTACACTGTTCAATTACTGCAGTTTGATACCACTTTAACTGCTATGGCTCAATGTAATGGGGTTCTGGAATTTGTAGTTTCTTGAGGCATGAGTGCTCTTTGGCAGAAAAGGTTCAAAACCTTTTAAAATTACAAATGCAAGGACTCCATAGCTTTGAGACATGACAGTTAAAATGCTGTCAAACTGAATAGATTCTACAGCAGTATATATGCATTTGCATTTATAGTCCCTTCCCTGTCATTGACTGATTCATCAGAATTTATGTTTATATGTGTTTTTTCTTTGTCACATGTTATGTAGTCACTATTGTTCACTGAGGTGAACTATCATCAGCATGACACATAGAGGATTTGTTAGAAACGGGTGCACTTTGCAGTCTCCAAATCCAGCAATTGGAGAATAAAACTAACTTCCTGCCATTATTACAAATGACAAAGATAGTAGTAGTGAGTACTGGTTAAACAAATCTTTATTCTTAACATTAAGTTAAAAGTTAAATACAATATAATATTTACTGAAACATCTCCCTACAAAATGTGAACAAACAGCACATACGTAACATTTCCAAACTTTGTACACAGTACATAGATATGCCTTGCTACGCATTCAGTTCCAGTCATAATGCTTTTATGTCTGAAATTCTGAAAAGTCTAAAAATATTTTTTTTTACTCCGCCTTCCTCCCCCCCCCCCACACACAATTAAATACACCAGAACAAATAAGGCATCTATAAAAGGTCAGATTCTACACAAAAGTTTTGAGTGGTTAGCATTTCTAAGCTTTAATACAAGTTGCAAAGAACATTAAGAATTACTTGTAAGAGTAGTTCCAATGTGCTATCTACTCCTATATTATTGCACGCAGCCTGTACTTCTTTTATATAAAGGCTTGAGAAATGTATTGATTTGGACACTACAGTAGATGTGCAGTGTAGATGTGCAGTGGTATGTTAGGCCTTGCACTTATCCTTTCCTTGCCTCATTTAGTGTTCAGAGAATGGATTCGGGGAAACTAGAATGGTTTACCCTCTTCCAGTGAATTTTTCCTATGGTCATTCCTTTGCCTTTGGGGGGGGGGGTTGACTCTTTTGGAGTTAATTATTCACTGATTTGATTAAAATGTTCATTCAAAGAATCTGTACATCCTCCAGTATGATTCTATGGCCAACTTTCCACCTAATGCCGAGAAAGCTGTTGTGACCTCAAACCAGTGCCTACCATCAGTAATGGACCGAATGCAAACAAATAAACTGAAACTTAATCCAGACTAGACAGAGTGCTCCTGGTCACTCAGAAGGTAGATCAGGGAATAGGGATTCAGCTTCTGATGGATGGATCACACTCCCCCTGAACACACAGGTCTGCAGTTTGGGGGTCCTCCTGGGCTTGGTACTGAACCTGGAGGCCCTCCTGGCTTGTGCACCAACTGTGCCCATTCCTTGAGAAGCCAGATCTGGCCACGATGGTACATGCCTTAGTTACATCCTGTCTGGATGATTGTAATGTACCCTACGTATGTCTGAAGAGTGCTCGGAAACTTTAATTGGTCCAAACAGCTGCAGCAAGGTTGTTCACTGGGGCTGGCTACAGAGAGCAGAAAACCCCCCTGTTGAAGCAGCCCCACTGGCTGCCGGTCTGTTACTGGGTACAATTCAAAGTGCTGGTTATAACCTTGAAAGTCCTAAACTAGTGGTTCTCAACTTGTGGGTCTCCAGCTTTTTTGGCCTTCAACTCCCAGAAATCTTAGCAGCTGATGAACTAGTTGGGATTTCTAGTTGTCGTCCAAAACACCAGATTATTTGGATGACTGCATTCCCATGTATGAACCTGCCCAGACCCTGTGATCTTCAAGAGAGGCCATTCTCTTGGTTCCACCTCCATCTCAAGCTCAGTTGATGGGAATGAGAGTTGCCCTTCGACTCTGGAACTCCCTGCCCAGGGAAGTCAGAATGGCCTCTTCCCTGCTGTCCTTCCAGCAGGCTAAAACCTTTTTATTTAAACAGTTGTTTAGAATCATGGAAGAGACCTCATGGGCCATCCAGTCCAACCCCCTGCCAAGAAGCAGGAATATTGCATTCTAATCACCCCTGACAGATGGCCATCCAGCCTCTGTTTAAAAGAGTCCAAAGAAAGTTTAAAGATGGTGTTTAAGATCTAGTCAGGGGATGCTATGGTTTTTAACATTGTGTTTGTTTAGATGGATGCTATGGTTTTAAACTTCGAATATGTTTGTTTTGATGGATTTAAACAGATTTTTTTAGTGCCGTTTGTGTTTAATTCCATTTTAATTATTGCATATTTGTATATTTTAAATTGGATACCAATGCTTTTATGTCAAGCAGCTTTGAGTCCCCTTTGGGGAGATAAAGTGGGGTATAAATAAATAATAACAAGAACAAGAACAACAAGAACAACAACATCAATAACTTCCTCTGGTCATTCTGAACAACCTAGAGATTTCTAGAGAGAACACCTCGCTTGGATTCCAGGTCCTCCAGGATGAATCTATTTGGCTACTAGCCAAATTCAACTAGAGTCATGTCAGAAAATTTCAGCCCCATCTACACTGACCATTTAATGCAGTTCAAAGATAGCTGCAAACTGCAGTAGCCAGACAACAAACTCACACAAAAGCACATGAAAGAAAGCCCTTAATGCACACCAGTGCTCTGTGGTTTGTTTCATCATCATCCAGGCCTCAAGCTGGTTCCAGAATTTCCTATGTAATCATCTGCACAGCAAAATTACTTTCTTAAATACCAGTTAAAACTGCATTAAATATTCATTGTAGATGGGGCCTCAGAATTTCCTAGAGGTGTTTTTTTCCAGTTCAAAAAAAAATAGCAATCTCTTTATTCATAGTTTTTCACCTTCATAGGGTCCTGTGTCCCTAATCCCAGCCAATGTGGTATTTCTGTCATTTCTAATAGGGAGAAAACAAGCAAACTAGACCATTTACAGCAACAAAAGGCAGAATCCCACCTGTCCTTTTCTACTAGAATCCTGAGATCTGTCAACTACCCCTACAGATCTTGTCAAACTATAACTTCCAGATGCCATAACTAACATTGCAAATGGTGAAGTGTCCTGGGAGGCACAGATCAGCAACATCTGGAGAGCTGAACACTTCCTAGCCCTGAGCTACAGCATGGTTGAAAAGACAGGTCTGCCACCCATCTTCTTCATTTCAGAAGTGTGACTGGGAGGGGGAGGCATTTTGTCTATGCCAAATTTCAACAAGCAGAAGTCAGAAATTCCGATCTGCTTCAAGTCACTCAGATATCGACCAGTAGATCCAGATCCATCTTCGGCTTATCTCTTCTTATCAAGTATTGCAAGTGCATGTGAATTAGAAGGAAGCAAACACTTTTGGAACTGGAAAAAAGCAGTGTGAAATACACAGTCATTCACAATTGTGCCTTTAGGGTTATGATAGTAAGAGGTTGATATGAAACAATGTCACTAGTGCTGGCTATTTTGCTTTGCTTTCTGCAACAATTGTTGTGTGCATTATCTGGCAACTCAAATTCAACTTAAGAGTTTAACACAATCACTGCAGAAGACATTGAAGTTGATGACAGCTGCAAAATAACTTCAGGGTGTTATGCCTCATGTGTAAGAATTTCCTCATTGACTGCTATGTAGTGAAGGATCTGTGAGAAGTAGGCCATCCAGGAGTCACCAAATAAATCCAAGGATTCTTGCCATTTTCATTAAGACCTATACAGAAGGAGTAGGAGAAAGCACATTTGAGGAAAATCAGATTTGCTTGCTTCATAATGTACAGCAAATGGAACAATGAAAACTACAGTTTTAAGTATGCTAACAATACATGGTTGATGTGTGTTATTATAAAATCTTGATAGCACATTAATACAATATTATTATATAGTAAAACAAAAAAACCTCTGGCTTTCTGAGCAGTTTCTTTTGAGTTCAATTCACATATTAATTTCTGTCCAGGTATTTCTATGGTGCATACAGGAGACTCTGCTTGATTACATATTAGAAGTTCACTCTAACACATTGCGTCCTTCATGGGTATGCATTAAGCTTTGCGTGTTCATCCTCAGTTAAACGTAAGGTTGACTTTTTCTTGTACTTTAAGAAAATGGGATATTTCTGTGTTCAAACTGGGATCAGTCTGTGGTAGCAGCGTATTGGAGAAAATACAAGGTGACTGAAAGGGGGGGGGGGATATTTCTGCAAGTACAGAAGGTCTATATTTATCACAAACCTTATCTATGCAGTATTGAAGTGCTTCTTGAAGGAAATAATCAATTGAAGATGGGATAGCTTGAAGTGAATGAATTGCTTATTGTACCAGCCATAGGCCATGACATAAAATAATAGACAACCTTTAAAAGTACAGTAAGCACTTTCCAAAATAAACATTAAAACTTCTGTATACTGACTCTTTAAAATTACAGTAGCAGTGATGTGATAACAGTAACAATGCCTGATTTGTATCATCCCAAACTATCTCCATTTCCATTTCTAGCCTCCGCTGTGGATTTTACTAATGTAGCTCAGATTTTTTGGGCTGCGACTGCAAATGTGGCAACCTTTATTGTTATATTTTTGGAATGATCCACTAAGAAGTCACAGATAATTGCTGACTGTTGCCATGCTGCCAAAAAAGGGCTTCTGGGAGCCCTTTTTCTTCCAAAAGGGCTCCCAGAAGATTGTTTCTAGGGCCATTAGACGAAGGGCAATGTAGCAGATAGTGTATTAAATCTTCTCTTTCTCCCAACCCACAAATACAAAGTTGCTGGCATGAGGGATCCCTCTATATGTTCCCTCTACCAGCCTGATGGCATTGTTTGGAAGCACGGAGCTGTAAATGCTTCTCTAAGGGCTACAGACATGAAGTCTTGAAGTTATTGTTGACAATATTGGTCACTCTTTAGTAGAGGAGTTTTTTTCATGTCAGGAGTGACTTGAGAAACTGCAAGTTGTGTCTGGTGAGAAAATATGCCATCTGCAAGGATGTTGCCTGGGGGACGCCCAGATGTTTTACCATCCTGTGAGAGGCTTCTCTCATGTCCCCACATAGGAAGCTGGAACTGACAGACGGGAGCTCACCCCACTCCCTGGATTCAAACTGCTGACCTTTTGGTCGGCAGTCCTGCCAGCACAAGGGTTTAATTCATTGCTCCACTGGGGACTCTTAGTAGTAGAGGGTACTAAGTAATGAAACTCTACTGGATAGCTTGAAGTATATTTGGGGATACAGAACCAATTCAGCCTCAGCTGGTTATTCAGACTGCTCATCTGACTATATTAAACAAGGTATAGCAAACTAGAAGCATCCAATTTCACTTCTGTATAGTCAGCATGAGACACTGCATTAGGGTCAAACTGCAAAAGGTGATGGCAATTATTTCCCAGAAGAGATTACAGCAGCTGCTAGTCACTAACCTTTTACAACAGCAAAAGATGGATATGGGGCCTTCGTCTTCCAGTCTGTACCTTCCCGAATTTGGTAAATCTTTGCACTGTGATATGAAGCTATGAAGTTCTGTCTCTGGAAAACCTTCTTGTTGGTAATGCTATAAATAAAGTCATGTTATTCAGGTTCATTGTGCTGCAACTCAGACAAGGTACAGGAGACAAATTCAGGAAAGCCTGGAATTGTTATTGCTGTATGCTATATCATGTTTCAAGAAGGAGGTGCTATGCAGGGTTGGAAAAATGAATATATCCCAAGCTAAAGGGAGGACTGAAGGCAAGGGCAAATAGCACTCTGGTTAAAAGTGATTCACTGCTCATATCCCTCCTAAAACCGGAGTTTGCCTTCATGACGGCTTAAATACTAGTAAGAAAATAGTGGGTGCAAGCTCAGTCACTGAAGTGAGATAGGTGGCTTTCCTGTTATTTCTTTCCAGTTTTCTGAGGCTGAGACTTGCCAAGGGCACATAATGGTTGAAATGGCCAAGCAGCCTCTGTCTCCAACACATGGCAGGAGCAGAAAGTGGGACAGAGTTGTTGGTACAAATCATATTATCATAGGTCATGGTTTGATGATTTGTTGAAATTCCACAATGTTATATTATTGGAAATAACAACCTTCTTCAAGTCTCCACTAGTTATATGTTTGTATATAATTCAGATTGCTTACTGTATTGTGTATGTGTGTATTGGTATGCAGTTTTCCTTAACTCTATTTTGTGGGAGGGGCTGCAGAACTGGGACTCTTCAGACTCAGACTCCATTTTAGAAACAGTATGCTTTCAGACGTCAGTAGAAACAGTTCAGTTTAGAAGTCTTCAGAAACAGAGGCTCTATTAGACTCTCAGAACAGAGAGATGCTTTAGACCATGGACTGTTGATTATAAGAAAGATGCCCTGCATTACCTACGAAGAAAAACTACTTTCAATCCTATCTGTAACTAGACTAATATGTAATGTACCTGTATACTGAATACATGGAAGTTTGTGAGTAAACTAATGATGTTACTTTTAAAGAAATCTACCTTATTTTTGTCTCTTGGAAGCATGATTTAAACCAAGATGTTTTAAGGAAGAATAGATGTTTTTGGGCAACTGAAAGAGCATTTCTGAAACTCTGCTATATATCTGGCTTTTTGTGCATTGGCATGTCTTTGTCCCTAATAGTTCAAAGAGATATCTAGGTATATCAATTTAACAGCTGAGAAACCTAACTGCCTTGCATGAATACTGGTGAGTCAACCTTATCCACTAAGGTTGACTCAAGCAAATTTTTAACTCTTGTCAGGGAGATTTCTGATTTTCCCCATTGGTGTTGAATAATAATAATAATAATTATTATTATTATTATTACTATTATTATTATTAAACTTTATTTATACCCCGCTATCATCTCTCCTCAGGGCGGCTAAATGCCATTTCCCAAAAAATTATGGCATCATTTTTCCAAAAGGTTATGATCTAAAAGTAATGTCTTTCCAAATATCATATTTCTCCAAAATATATTAGCCAAACTCTCTTTTCTTTGGGCATTGTTGCAGATTTAACTTTAACCTAATACGTCACACTAAGCAGGATTCTGTGGAAGAGATCTGCAAAGTTGATTATGCCCCATAGTTTGATCTACTGGCAGCTTTTACTGCAGCTGCAGAAACATTTAAAGGCCACACATCATAATCTTGGTGCTATGGAAAGGATGGGCATTTTTAGTTGTTCTACTGCAACTCTTAGGATCCATTTCCTTGAGTTCTGTTATTCAAAAAAGAGATCTGCAATACAGCAACATCTGGAGAACCACATGTTTCACTCTAATGGTCAATGCACTTAGCACATTAATTACAGATGTAAGCAAGCTTGGTTCCCCATTTGGTTTATAAGTCCCATCAGCCTTAGACTTCATAGCTGTTGTTGGAAAATCAGTTCAACAACTAGAGGACTACCTCCCTAATCCATTATTTTCCTTTGATCTAGTTATATAACAAATTAGAGTATGTTTCATATTTAGACATCTTAAATAGTTTAGGACAAGAAATATTATAAATTCAATAGCCTGAAACTTGATAATAATAATAATCATCATCATCATCATCATCTTTATTTATACCCCGCCACCATCTCCCCAAAGGGGACTCAGGGCAGCTTACATGAGGCCACGCCCATCAATACAGAAACACAATAAAACACAAAAACACAAAATATTTTGAGATTCCCTTCAGGTGCCTTTTAAAAAGACCCAGTGTAATAATCAGGTGCTTATTTCAAAGCTCTTGAAAGTCACAATTAATTATAAAAACAATTTGAAACTGCATTTCCCTACATTTGTTGCACATACCTTAACTGTTTCATATGTGTCTGTAATGAGGGCAATGAAGAGGCTTAGAACCATGTAGATAAACAGGCTAATGAAGGAGTAGAGGTAGATCCGACTGAAGAGCCAAACCAAATAGCTTTTCTGCTGCATTTTTGCAAAAGTGGCAAACATGTCATCTCCATTTATCAGAGAGAAGAGACACTCGGAAACCATGTTCAAGGAGCGGAACTTGAAGATAAAAAAGTTTTTTAAAAAAGACAAGAGGAAAACATTTATACAACTTTCAAACTGTTTACAAACTTTTTGCAATGGGAACATCACAAAAATATTACATATTTTATTTGGGGCTTGTTGCTATGCAGGGAACAGGATTTGGGAATTAGAAGATAGTACTTTTGGGCTATTTGCATGCATAAATATTAATAGATCTCAATATTAATCTCAGGCTAAGGTAACAGATAGACTAAATTTCTCAAATTGCCCTAAACAAAATTCTTCACTTTCTGAATCATCATCATCTAATACCCATGGAATTAGGAACTAGGTAAATGTAAAGGATTCCCCTGACATCAAGTCTAGTCGTTTCTAACTCTGGGATGGTAGTGCTCATTTCCATTTCTAAGCTGAAGAGCCAGCATTGTCTGTAGACGCATGCTAGGTCGTGTGGCCGGCATGACTATATGGAGCGCCGTTACCTTTCCGCCGAGGCAGTACCTATTGATCTATTCACATCTGCATGTTTTTGAACTGCTTGGTTGGCCACCGCACTCCCTGAATTCGAACTGCCAACCTTTTGGTCAGCAAGTTCAGCAACTAAGCTCTTATACACATATACATGTTAATAGCACACTTGTTTACATTTAAAAAAAACAATACCTTAACGTGATATGGGCCCAGCACAATCCAGCCACAGAAACAATAACCCAGATATATCATAGCAGCACAACAGCAAAATCGAATGACATTGGGCAAGGCTGCACGTAGTGTCAGTATAAGCAACTACAAAGAAAAAAAAAGCCCAGAACAATCCATTAGATGTTAGCTATGCATTCAGTATGGTTATCTATTAACAGAAAATAAAATGAGTAATAACAGCACAGAGGTCCCCAAAATCCTTACATTGTATTTCTGAAAGAAGCCAAGATAGCGGATCACTCCCAGCCACACAAGCATGGTGGAGGTTCCCAACAGGATACTACAGACATCGTAGCTCGTTAGACTCTGGATAAAACATACAAACAAATAAAAGTGATAATCTGGTGGTATCACCTTTGCCATATTTGCCCACAGATCTTAAACCACATGCCAGGGTAGGTAGAAGCAGAGATTTGGAAACATTATATTTTTGGACTATAGCTCTCAGAATTGCCCAACCAGCATAGCCAATGTGTGTTGTAATTCAAAATAGTAATATTTCCAAGCTGTTCATATATGCCCTGAGGCATATAGATGCACAAAGTGTGCCAATTATTGAAGTGCACATTTCCATTCATAGCTGATAAGGTATCTAAGGAGGGAGAGAGACTGAGAGAGAGTGAGGTCCTTTATTCACATTTCCAATAGAAATTGGAAGAAAGGAAGGCCACATACATCCTTTCTGTGCAATGGCAGTATTCCCACCACCTGATCAAACATTTAGCCCAAACCTCAACTTTAATGCTAATGATGAAAAGATATTAAAATGGAAGAACCCAGAGTTCAGTTGTAATATATTTTTAAAAACCCAAAATACCAAACTATTAATGGTCAGTTCAATTAGAAGACATTTCAAGCAGAGAAAAGGAGGATCCATGTGAGGCTTTTTCTAACCATTATGCAAATTTCTTACCTTGGCTTGGATTTCCATCTTTAGTGTTGAACCAATTATGGTTAGAACGTCGCTGACTATGATCATGATATACCACCCATTGACAAATTCCATCATATCATTGAAGGATACTTCTTTCTTATAATGAAGTTGGAAAAAAATCACAAACTCCTGAAGGGATTGGATGGAGGATAAAAGAAGACAATATGCAATGAAGAACTAACTTCGACATGTAGTACAAAATGACAAGAAAGAAAGCTCACCCTCTGTAGACGAATTCCTCTAATCACAGAGCGTGTGCACAGAATCAGTGATGTAAGACATGTCAGTATGACAAAGGCATCAAAAATCATCATATAGTGGGTATTCTTCTGTACTGAAAGAAGAAAAAATCCAAGATTATTTTATAATAATGTCTTCCTATATCCCATACTCCTTGATGTGTATTTTTGTGGACTAGGGATGGAAATAATTCAGTCTTTGAGATGTTGTTGGACTGCAACACCCATCATTCAACATTGGCTAAGCTGGCTAGGACTATGTTGTCGAAGGCTTTCATGGCTGGAATCACTGGGTTGCTGTGAGGTTTCTGGCCTGTATGGCCATGTTCCAGAAGCATTCTCTCCTGACGTTTCACCCACATTTATGGCAAACATCCTCAAAGGTTGTGAAGTCTGTCGGAAACTAGGCAAGTGGGGTTAATATATCTGTGGAATGTCTGGGTAGAAAGAATTTGCCTGTTTAAGGAAAGTGTGAATATTGCAATTGGCCACCTTGATTAGCATTGAATTGCCTTGCAGCTTCAAAGCCTGGCTGCTTCCAGCCTGGGGAAATTCTTTGTTGGGAGGTGTTCACATAACAGAACACCTGAAGAACTAACCTGGACACAGATTATTTGAGAACACAAAAATGCTGGACTCCTCTAACAACCACCATGTCAGACTACAGAGAGAAGCCATTGAAATCCACAAGCACATGGACAATTTCAACAGAAAGGAGGAAACCATGAAAAGGAACAAAATCTGGCAACCAATATTTAAAAACTCTAAAATCAGAACAGTAAATAAAGAGCAACACTCAAAAACGGGAATTCCTGACATAAAACAATCGGGGCCAGCTAACACCTCCCAACAAAGGATTCCCCCAGGCAGGAAGCAGACAAGTTTTGAAGCTGCAAGGCCATACAGTGCTAACCCTGGGTTAAATGATGGTGCAAATGTGTACAAATTGATGGTGATTATATTGAACGGTAGTTTCTGTAGAGCATAGTTCATGCTATAATCTGTAGCAACTTCTGCAGTTATATGTTCATTCATAACATTTTTGTGACACAGGAGGCAAAGCTTTTTGATCCACCCACGTATTATAATCCAAGGACCGTTAAATATCAAGGTGAAAAGACCCATGAAAAATTTTGGCACATTTCTCTGAACATTATTACATCAGCTCAGGAGGAAAGAAAAATGTGGGCTTAGAATTTAGATGCAAGATGAATGCAACACATTCTGTCTTTTCTATTATTCTGAGAAGCATCCTCCTGATAAATGTCATTTTCTTGCTGAGGGAAGAGACATTCCTTATGGGGGCCTAATGGAGAATCTCCTCCCACTGCAAATAATTGCATGGATTTTTCCACTTCAGGAACACAGAGGAAAACAATGTTATACTGTATACCTTCTCTCCTCCTCACCTCCTTATTCATCAAATAAATTAAGTTCCATTAATAATAATACATATTAGACATAAAAACATATTATTTATATAATTATATATGCATTCTGCAAAATATTAGATCTGTGTCCTGACTACTTACTTACTTGATCCAGAAACATGCCAATCTTTACACTCGTTGATGGCAATATCATTATCCAGGCTTATTTTAATTCTTCCACTATGTGCTTTATTATCAAAGACTATCTATACCAGACAGAGGAGAGAAAGACATTGTTTTAATTTTTTATTATTATTTTATTTAAATCCTCCAGATAAAGATCTGTGATCTTGTTATATAATGACACATCATTAAGACAAAACAGTAAAAACAGAAATAAGAATTGTACTTCCGCTCAGGAATACAAGGTTGAGAAGACTTACTTTTTTTCAAATGCTTGTTCAAAATAGTTAAATTAATTGAAGATTAAAAGCTGGCTTTAGCTGTAACAAACATGTCACAGGTCATCTCCTACATGAACAAAGTTTTTTGTAAATTGTAAATTTCATGCGAAGCTGAAATTTCCATTTTGATTTCCACAGGCAAGCAGATAGTTCACTGATAGGAATGAAGTGGCCCTTTAAATGTTGTTGGACTACAACTCCCTACCTTCCTCACAGTTGACTATGCTAGCTAGAGATAGCACAGGGATACTGGAAGTTGCACTACAACACCTGGATGCCTGCACGATTCCAACCCCTGCCTTGACCACTATGTTATTCATAGTGTAGGTCTTCAGCATTCTGTAATATTTCTTGACTTTCACTTTGCCCATGCCTCTGTTACCAAAGCCTTCACACCAAAAACACACAAAGTAGGAGAAAAATGGATTGAAACTATAGAGATTGAATAGCCTTGATGGGATGAGGGGACCCAGCCCCTACACGATGATTTATTTATTTATTTATTTGCTGTATTTGTATACCGCCTTTCTCATCCTTTTGGTGACTCAAGGTGATTAGCCTTCTATGTTTCATCAACTTCGATACTTTTAAAGAAGCATTTGCAAACAGTGGTTGAAGCTATTGATATTGAAAGACTAATCTTCAATTTGCAATAGAAAGTAATAACTATCCAGCCAATTAAATTCATAGTTGATGATTAAATCTCTAAATGTCTCATCTTCAGACCAATTAAATCCCTTATTTGCCTCATCCCATCTGCTACCTCCCCAAAGCTGCCAAGACAAATGCAGAAACAGTCCAAAAGAAAATATGATAGGACTCTGAATCCATTCATTCCTTAAAACCCTTTGGAGGAGAAGACTAGGGCCCTTAAGTAAAGGAGAACGTTATCATTCAAGTTTCTACTCACTGTCAAAGTGAAATCATAGCAATCTGGGAGTTCATGGTGACGAACCGTCTGGAGATTAATGGCCTTCAGTTTGAATGTGAGCTCAAGAGTCACAAGTCTAGAAGATAGTTTTGAATGTTATTCATTTGTTACCAACAGGAACAAACAAGTACCCACGTACCTAGGCTTGCCATAGGCCATCCCATCATCTCTGGTTCTCAAGGCAAGAGGGAGGAAACAGGGCAGAAGCGCAATCTTGAAAAGTTTGTGAATATATTTTTTCTTTAATTGTTAGGCATTTTAAATTATTCAAATGCAGCACCATCACCAAGACCTCCTTTTTTGTAACATAGCCATTTCCCACATCTTGTGACATTACAGAATGACAGCCCTCGTCACAGTTTTGGACTATGTACCCAAAGGAAGGAGGAGCAGGATTCAATAAGGGTGTTGCTCCCCAAAAATATGGCAGTGTAGACTCATGCAATCTAGTTCAAAGCAGATAATGTGGATTATCTACTTTGATCATTTGAATTAAAGGGCAGTGTAGAAGGGGCCTTACTATCTTGAGTGCTAGAAACTGCAATATTGAAGGAAATTTTCATTAGAAAAGGGAAATTCATATTTAAAGGTAAAAATGTCCATATTCCTTCCTGCCATACCTACAGACCTGGTAATTGTACAAGTCACCATTTTTCTACCTCACCTATGGAAGTCAAGAGTGAAGTTGAGATAGTTCTTCTGTAGTGTTCGGTTTACCAAAGGCAGAATTGGCTCCACATAAACACATTCTATAGAAAGAAGAACACAGATGTGTTGTCGAGAAAGCATTCAGAACCTCATACAAAAAAAACAAAACAAGGAGCCTGGAACAGGACTAGAGAAACTGTGGCCCTGCATTTGGGAGTATCCCACTAAAAACCCACTTGCAGTGCCTTCTATCCTTCAAAAACTGATAGTTCAAGTTCTATTGGGATGAAACAAGAGATACTATCTCTTACGGCACATAGCCACAAGTTAAAGGATCAAATACAACAAGGTTTTTTTCTCAAAGGGAAAAATATTCCAGTGCAAGCAGGACTAGATAGTACTTTATAAGGAGTTGGGCTCTGATATGATACAACTGATAAAGCTGCTGATGCTCTATATCAGGCATGGGCAAACTTCAGCTCTCCAGGAGTTTTGGAGTTCAACTCCCACAATTCCTAACAGCTGGTAGGCTGCTAGGAATTGTAGGAATTCAAGTCCAAAACACCTGACGGGCCGAAGTTTCCCCATGCTTGCTCTATGACTGCAACATGTATTTGTTCCCAATCCTGTCAGAGTTATATAGACCCCCCCCCCCTCTCTCTCTCTCATGCACGTGCACACTGATGTGAGTACTTAGAAAGGATTACCAGTTTCAATTTCTGGGTCAATATCAAAGGTGTCATTTCCAGGACAGATGGTGCCTTGCTTGTAGAAGTACTGGCATATTGCCATAGGTGTCTCTTCAGCTCCTTTCTTTTCATAGGCATGGTTTCCAACAGAGATGTTGCGAAGCTGTAAATACTAAGCCAAAAGTGGTAGCTGTTTAGTGCCTGGAAAGCTGAGGCCTTCAGCTGACGGTCCTTTGCATGATCTACCACTCTGTAAGGCTATGCTCTATACCAGTGGTTCTCAACCTGTGGGTCCCCAGGTGTTTTGGTCTTCAACTCCCAGAAATCCTAACATATGGTAAACTGGCTGGGATTTCTGGGACTTGTAGGCCAAAACACRTGGGGACCCAGAGGTTGAGAACCACTACTCTATACTTTTGATCCCCCAGGTATTTTGGACTTCAGTTCTCACAATTCCTGACCACTGGCCAATATGGCTATGGGTTCTGGGACTTGAAATCCTAAACACCTGGAGGAGCAAAGTTTGAGTACCACTCTCTAAACCCTTACCAGGAGAAGTCAGGCTGCCAAGATTCCATTATTCTATAACATATATGGATTTGGATTAGCTTTTTGATTATTTCTCATCTTATTTTTAAATAATATGTTTTGCTTTAACTCTGGTCTTGGGCATTATCTGTGTGACTTTTATCATAATTTATTATTGTAATTTTACTGTCTTCTTATCGTTTTGTATAAACTTTGTAAACTGCTTTAAATGATACTCAGAAAATCAACAGTGATGATAATAAAAGAAGAAGACCTGATAAAAGGGCATCTAATTATATTTAGATCAAAGGTTTTTTTATCATGTCAGAAGCAACTTGAGAAACTACAAATTGTTTCGGGTGTGAAGAATTGGCTGTCTGCAAAGATGTTGCCCAGGGGACGCCTGGATGTTTTACTATCCTTTGGGAGGCTTCTCTCATGTCCACACAAGGGAAGCTGGAGATGACAGATAGAAGCTCACCCCATCTCGTGGGTTCGAACCGCTGACCATCAGGTCAGTAGTTCAGTTGACACAAGGGTTTAACCCATTGCACCACCGTGCAATGTCAAGGTGAAAATGTTACTTGAATACATCTAGGGCAGTGGTTCTCAACCTGGGGTCCCCAGATGTTTTTGGCCTACAACTCCCAGAAATCCCAGCCAGTTTACCAGCTGTTAGGATTCCTGGGAGTTGAAGGCCAAAAACATCTGGGGAGCCCAGGTTGAGAACCACTGATCTAGGGTTGCTCTCTTAACTTCACTTGGAATAATAGCTTCCATTAATTTTATATTACAAAAGTCTTTGAGATTAGAAAATGCACTTTTGGAATATTAAATGAGCCCATTCTTCATAAAAGAGAACTCTTTCAACCCTTTAAGTAGTTTTGTATAGCAAGATCTATAACAAATGGTTGGATTTGACAAATTCCCTTTTTCTCATTTACACAAAGGTAAGAGTCAGTTCAGGCCATGTGACTGAAGCTGTAATAATAGTATGGTGATTTGGAAAAACAATCTTCATGTGGAAATCTGCTCTGGGACTTATTCAACAAATGTAGATGTTGTCTGGTTGGCTTATCATACACAGATGCTGAGAAATTACAACAAAGGGTGATAAGGTTGTAAGCATTCAAACCACATGGAAACCCAATGGTCCAGTTGATCATTATAATTTTTATATTCTCATGATTAATTCTGCAAATGGATAGCCAGACAAGAACTGAACCTATTTCATGTGGGGTCCTAGCATATCACTACTGTGAAAAATTGTTGCTGACAACATGTTACCTTGTATCTAAGAGGTTTTTATGAAAAGCTTCTCAACAACAAAGATTTTTCAATAGAAGAAGGCTTATGTTGACACTTTAATGATGGACTTTCCATAGACTTTGGCTTAAGTACACTCCATTTAACATTCACAATTTTTACTGCATAATTACCGTATATACTCCAGTATAAACGACCTGAATATAAGCCGAGGCACCTAATTTTACCAGAAAAAACTAGGAAAACGGATTGACTCGAGTATAAGCCGAAGTGGTAAATGCAGCAGTTACTGGTAAATTTCAAAATAAAAATAGATACCACTAAAATTACATTAATTGAGGCATCTGTAAGTTAAAGGTTTTTAAATATTTGCATAAAATTGTAATTTAAGATAAGACTGTCTAACTCTGATTAAACCATTATTCTAACCTTCTTCATTGTAAAAGTGCCTACATATCCTTCCAATAATAACAGAATAAAATAATAAATGTAATAATAATAGACTAAAATGATAAATGTAATAATAATAAATAGAATGAAATAATAAATGTATTAATAGTAATAATAATAATAATAATAATAATAATAATAATGTAAAATAAAAAAATAACCTTGACTCAAGTATAAGCCAAGAGGGACTTTTTTAGCCTAAAAAAGGCTGAAAAACTCGGTTTATACTCAAGTATATACAGTATATAATGAGGTGGTTGTAGTGTAACATATAACTTGTTTGACTTGAACTGCCAAGACCAAGATTCAAATCTCTTTAATAATAATAAACTTTATTTATATCCCACCACCATCTCCTAAAAGGGACTCAGGGCAGCTTACAAGACACTGCAGAGCAGTATATAACATAAACAATACAGTATATAACATAAACGAGTATAACACAATCACATAAAAATTATAAAACAATCACAATATTACACAGCAATAATGATCACTGGATGTCTTTGAGTCAGTTACCATCTCTCAGCCTAAACTATTTCACAGGGTTGTTATTTGGTGAAAATGGAAAAGAAAAGAAACATCAAATGAGATCATTGGAGGAGGAGATCAAGGAAGAAATAAACAAAACCAAAGAAAACAGGCTTGTTTTTTCGAGTACTCATTTGTATTCATTTAACACCCATAGCTGAATTTCTGGAATAACATATCGCTTTTAAAAGCTTGGTTTATGGAAAATGACTACAGTTTACTATACACATACAGTAAAACAAACAATTTACCTGGTTTATTGCAAAGGAGATTTGGTCATACACATCCATTTGTGTATACACTGCATAGGTGTCATCCAGTCTGTCTGTATAGCCTTTCAGGAAGAGATGTTTAAAAGCCACGGTGTTTTCTTCTTTAAACGCAACTACCATCTGGTTACTTAATCCAAAGACTACTAGCTGAAAACCATCAAAATAGAAAGATAAGATGGAAGGAAGATTTGTTTACACACACACACATATCTAAGTAATTTAAAAGTTTAAGAATCAGTAGTTTGAATATTAGTTCCAAAGCAAATGTTGCTTCCTTAAGTTAAGCAAATAATAATAACAATAACAACAACAACAATAATAATAATAATAATAATAATAATAATAATAATAATATATTTTATTTATATTCTGCTCTATCTCCCTGATGGGACTCAGAGCAGATTACAGAATGCATATATGGCAAACATTCAATGCCATTATACAATTAACAACAAAGACAGACAATATATAGACAAAGGCAAAGGATTCCCCCTTTCTATCTCCAGCATCTGGATGCTGTGTTCAGCTCCAGCCATGGGGAGGTGCTCTTGTTCTATTTTCCATGCCAAGGAACCTGCTGTCCATGGACGCCTTCCTGATCGAATTGCCAGAGTGTCTGCATGGGTGTCATTTACCTCCCCACCACAGCGGTACCTATTGATCTACTCACATTATTGTTTTTGAACTGCTAGGTAGGCAGGAGCTAGGGCTAATGGCAGGAGCTCCCCCCGACTCATGGCTTGAACTGCCAACCTTCTGGATTGCAAGAATTTCTGCAGCTGGCAGTTTAACCCACTGTGCTACCACAACCCCTGGTATCTATGCTTAACAATACAGAAAGCCAACAAAGTATAGTGGTTTGGGTGTTGGACTATGATTCTGGTGACAAGCTTCCAAAACCCTGCTCAGTCATGGAAAACCCACTCTTTCATTCACCAAGTCGCAATAATAGAAAGCTGACACCTTCCAGTTGCCCATGCCTTGCCCATGCCTGCTGAAATCCAACACCTCTGGAGAGTGTTGAAATGGAGATGGATGAACTGGTTTTCCAAAATATTAAAAGATTAGCTAAAACAATGGCTACAAAATTAACCCTTTAAAAAATCTGCACATATACACTTTCTTAAGTACATTTATATTACATCCCTCAAATCTTTATACCTCATAAATAAGTCTATAATGTAGAATTAATGCAGTTTGACCAATGCTATGGAGTCATGGTAATTGTGGTTTTACAAACTGTCTCTGCCAAAGAATGCTGGAACTTCATCAAACTAAAAATTCTAGGATTTCACAGCATTAATTCTACAGTAGAGATGCACTCAGTCAGTCTTTCAGGCAGGATCTACACTGCCATATACAATCCAGATTATATTAATTGATCTGGATTATATAGCAATGTAGACTCATGTAATCCAGTTTGATTCAGATAATTTGGATTGTCTGCTTTGATAATTACATGACAGTGCAGATCTAGCCTCAGACCTGAGAAAGTTATTTTTCTTTCTCTACTTGAATGATATGAAAATAGGGAGTCCATTTTCCTTTTAGCTCTCGGATTCTAAGATTGGAAATGTGGCATGTGAAGTAGCTCTGGAAATGTAGCTCTCTCAAAGCAACAACAACAAATATTTATTTATGTCCCATATGATCTAACTTTTCACAACAAAAGTAAAGACATGTAGTCAAGCAACATCGCAGTAGGGTAAAAATGGCAAACATTATTAAGGAGAAATAACATTAGGAAGCGCTGCAGAAGTTTGCTTTTGCTTAAGCCTTTTAAGAAGAGAAAGATTTCATTCTTCATCTTCCTTCCTCTCTCCCTAGCTAACTGAATGGGGCCCCTGGTGGTGCACTGGAATATGCCCTTGTGCCGGCAGGACTGCTGACCGAAAGGTCAGCGGTTCGAATCCAGGGAGCGGGGTGAGCTCCCATCTGTCAGCTCCAACTTCTCATGCAGAGACATGAGAGAAGCCTCCCACAGGATGGTAAAAACATCCAGGCATCCCCTAGGCAACATCCTTGCACACAGCCAGTTCTCTCACACCAGAAGCAACTTGCAGTTTCTCAAGTTGCTCCTGACCTGAAAGAAAAAAAAGCTAAATGAATTAGATACTTCTGAACTTTGAAGTACATTTCCTGCAAATGAAATAAGCTGATGACAGTATGAGGAAGAAAGAGATACTGGGTCACTTTAAAAGCAGCTAGAATATATGTTGACAGAGGATTAATCAGGACATTCCAGCATCTGCCCGCAGACTCACCTGGATAGTAACCATTGCAATTTTCAGAAGTTGAATGCCAAGCTTCCAAGGCTTCCTCCCTCGAGCCCAGAATTTTTCACAGGGGTTCATAAAGAAAAATTTAAGTTTCCTTCTGAGCTGATCTTCTAGGAGCAATTCCTGACATATTGAAGACCGCTGCTTGTAACTGTAAAGGTTTTCTTCATCATGAGAACTGCAGCTGCTAACAATCACTTCAGCAGTATCCATGGCTACAATTTTTTTTAAAAATAACATGGATAAATCAAAAATTATATTAGAAGTCATAACCCTTTGAAAAATGATGCCATAACCTCTTGTTAAAAAGCATGACCTGTTAGAGTCATAACCTTTTTGGAAAATAGTATTCATGCAAGGCAATCAGGTTTCTTAGCTGTTAGACTGATAAACTTAGATATCTCTTTGTTCTGTTAGGAACAAAGATATGCCAATGCACAAAATACACACACATATATAACAGAGTTTCAGAAGTATTCTTTTTAGTTGCCCCAAAACACGTACTCTTCCTCAAAATAGATTTGCCTTTAAATTATGCTCTCAAGAGGACTTCTTTAAAAGTAACATAGTTGGTTTACTCACAAACTTCATGTATTCAGCATACAGGTACTTTGCTTATCAGCCCAGTTAGAAATAGGATTTGAAGTAGTTTCTCTGTATAGATAACACAGGGCATCATTCAATCTTGCAAACTTTGTGTTTTGTCTGTTTGTTTGTTTTGTTAAAAACATAATACAACTGTCTGGTTGCTCCTGACACAATAAATAAATATCATTCTTACAATCAACAGTCCAAAGTCCAAAGCATCACTCTGTTCTGAGAGTCTAATAGAGTATCTGTCTAGTCTGAAAGTCCAATGGAGTCTCTACAGTCTGAGAGTCTGAAAGCATACATCTGTTCCTACTGAAGTCCAAAACATACAGTTCCTAATGAAGTCTCTAAGCATTCTCTTCCTACTGAAGTATAAAGCAAAACAGTTCCAAAAATGGAGTCTGAGTCCTAAACAAGCCCAGAAATACACAAGCATGTGGACAATTTCAACAGAAAGGAGGAAACCATGAAAATGAACAAAATCTGGCTACCAGTATTAAAAAAAACTCTAAAATTACAACAGCACAACAACAGAGAGGAAACAAACAAGGACATCTAATCACCTCTCAACAAAAGTTTGCTCCAGGCACTGTCAGGCCATTATATGCTAATCAAGGTGGTCAGTTGAAACATTCACACCTAGCTCCAGCAGACAAGAGTCCTTTGTCCCATCCTGATCATTCCACAGATATATAAACCCATTTTCCTAGTTCCAACAGACCTCACTATCCCTGAGGATGCTTGCCATAGATGCAGGCAAAACGTCAGGAGAGAATGCCTCTAGACCATGGCCATATAGCCCGAAAAACCCTACAACAACCCAAGCCCAGACCTGATCATATGGTCTGCAGTCCTTCCCACAACAAAGAGTTTTTAAAAAACTGCAAACCAATATACCTATATATAATACAGTAATCAAATTATATACGTAAGAAATAACTCGTAGAGGCTTGAAGAAGGTTGCTATTTCCAACACTCTCTGGAAGAGGATGATAGAGCCTAACTCAGAAATGTCCAAAGAGAATCCCTCTCAAGGGAATCATTCTACTATATATCAGCAGCTAAGCAAAACAGAAAATGACATATCTGTTAAAAATGGGAGAAAAATTAATTCCCCCTGATCAGCTCCAATTCTTCACAGAAAGCACTAGTTTTGTTTCCAAAGGAAACATTTTCCATAAGCACAGAACTTTGTATAGCACTTTTAAAATTTCCAGTTTTCATATTACAGGCCTAGAATGATACAATGGTAGAGTTGAAAGCGACCGAAGGGACTCTGTAGTTCAACTTCCTTCCTTGCAGGAATACACAACAAAAGACTCCTGAAAAGAAGGCATCCAACCGTTTAAAGACAATCAAAGAGGGAGAATCCATCACTCTCCAAGACAATTTATTCCTACAGTAGAAAAAGTTCTTGATAATTAGACAGATTCTCATTTCTTGTATTTTGAACCCTTTGTATCATGTTCTAGTCTCTGCAACAGCAAAAAACAAGCTGGCTTATTCTATCTACTTCATGACCCTTCAAATATTTAATGCTAAATAACATGTTTGGATCAGGGGTCCTAAAACTAAGGCCTGGGGGCCAGATGCGGCCCTCCAAGGTCCTTAACCCAGCCCTCGCTAAGGGTCAACCTAAGTCTGAAACGACTCAAAAGCACATAACAACAACAACAATCCTATCTCATCAGCCAAAAGCAGGCCCACATTTCCCATTGAAATACTAATAAGTTTATATTTGTTAACATTGTTCCTCATTTTAATTATTGTATTGTTTTTAAGTGTTTTTACACTACAAATAAGATACGTGCACTGTGCATAGGAATTCATTCATGTTTTTTTCAAATTATAATCCGGCCCTCCAACAGTTTGAGGGACTGTGACCTGGCCCCCTGTTTAAAAAGTTTGTGGACCTCTGGTTTGGATGTTGAAAAGGTATTTTTTAAAACATAGGCAATTAATTAAAATCCTAAAAACAAGTATTTTTCTGAGGCTGGATCTCCACTGCCCTATATCATCATCATCATCATCTTAATTGTATCCTGCCCAGTCTCCCCAATGGGGAGTCAGGGTGGCCAACAACATATAACGACAAATATTCAATGCTGTATAATACAATCAACTAATAAACAAGACATATCATAAATTTTAAAAAAACACATTAAACATCGATGCCAAACAATGGGACATTACCACCAAATTAGACATCCAAATTAAACTCCTTCCTCTGTAGATAAGAAATGCACTGGGACTTCCATCACTTCTTCCCAAAGACGTAAAAGGTCCTTTGGAGGAAAGAAGTATAGATAAGACTTCTGTCACTTCTTTCTCCACAAAGGAAAAAGTTGGGACAGAAGCAGAGAAAGAAAGAGATGGACATCCGACTGTGTGTCTGTCCACCGAGAACGGAAATTGAGTCTTTTCTCAATGGACAGAAACACATTCGTATGGCTATCGTTTCTGTCCAAAGAGAAAAACATTCAAGAAAGAAGTCCGACCCCTTCCTCTTTGTAGAGAAGTGGCTCCAAGATTATCTGCTTTGAACTGGATTATATGAATCTACACTGTCAGATAAGCACACAATCTAGGATCAGATCCTGGGATAAAGGGCAGTGTAGATCCAACTTGAACAGTTTTACCTTTTTGAAAAAAAAAATATTGAGAGGCCAGATCAGAGTGTGCACTGTTTTTTAAATCCACATACATTCTAAGATACTGGCAAAGTTTTTTTACATGCAAACTTGCCATTTAAATCCTAAAGTCACCAGATCCCCGCAGCTCTAGAAAGCTCTGCCCTGGTTAGTACTTGGATGGGAGACCACCAACAAATACCAGGCTAAATTTCTGAGGACGGAACTGACAAAATCATATATGAAAATTCCTTGCCTACGAAAACTCTATAAAATTCACACAGTCCCCATAAATCATCAGGTGACTTGAAGATGCTTGCATACAAACATACTGAATTAGATCAGGTGAACATCTGAGGAGGGAAATTTTGCACAGCTAGACAGACAAAAGGTAAATACTCCCTCCACAGTTCACTGTTCCACTAGCCTCATTTTGTGTATATGTGTTTGTTCCTTGAAAGATATGTCCTCTCTCTGATTTCTGAATATAATTTTCTTTTGGCCACCACTCTGAATCCAGTGTTCAGTAAACTAGGGCTGGATCTAAAGGGATATTAATCCTTTCTTATACTATCGGAGCCCCCAGTGGCACAGTGGGTTAAACCACTGAGCTGCTAAGCTTGTTAACTGAAAGGTCGCAGGTTCGAATCCAGGAGCAGCGTAAGCTTCCACTGTCAGCCCCAGTTTCCACCAACCTAGTAGTTCGAAAATATGCAAAATGTGAGAAGATCAATAGGTTCCACTCCGGTGGGAAGATAATGGTGCTCCATGCAATCATGCTGGCCACAAGATCTTGGAGTTGTTTGTGGACAGTGGTGGCTCTTCAGATTAGAAATGGAGATGAGCACCACACCCCAGAGTCGGACACAACTGGACTTAATGTCAGGGGACAACCTTTACCTATACTATCCAAAGCTCTATCTATCTATCTATCTATATATGGCTGGAGATACACTTAAAATGCACCTGTTCTGACTTCTAAACAAATTCAACTTAAGAACAAACCTACAGAACCTATCCTGTTCATTACTTGGGGACTGACTGTAGTTGCTTTCTCCAGAACACAGCAATGGTACAGAGACACATTCAGAAGTAGACCTATTCATTGACACATGATTAGAATCAGCAGCTTTCAGAGGAACGGATAAGGGCCTTGAGCCCTTCAGCGCCTCCTCTTCCTGTCACTTTACATGTTTGTCTTGGTATATAAGCAGTAACTTGAACCTATCATGTATTCAGAAAATATAGCTTCCAGGCAAAAGAAGGTTTCATGATTCAGGAAGCTGTAATTTTCTAAGCTTTGCTTGTGTTGTTATTTTTCTTGTTGCTGTGTGTCTTCAAGTCATTCTGACATGGCAATTATAATGAGAACCAAGCAGAGTGTTTGTTCAGAGCAGGTTTGCTCTTGCCTTTCTACGAGGCTGAGAGAGAATGATTTGCCGAAGGGAACACAGTGGGTTTCCATGCCTGAGCAGGTATTCGAAGCCTGGTGTCTCAGTATCTTAGTCCAACCCTCAGACCACTACACCACACTGGTTCTCATCTCCCTGTATTGGAATGGGAGAAGTCATAAGGTAAAATACATTTGAGAAGCCTGTCTTAACTCTCCTTGTACTATAAATTGAACTAAGATAGCAAGAGAAGGATCAACTATCCTTCTGGTTCTTTCACCCCTCTCCCTTGCACAGAAGATGTGAATTATTTAGTGCTTTACCTGTAGCAGCAGCCAAAATATGCCAAGTCTGTTAAGAGGATGCAGCACATTAATTTAAAATCAGGTTCAGCGTGATCTTAAGCACATTTGCTTCAATTATATACTTGTCTTACAGATAGAAATCCATGTCCCCTTCCACACAGCTGTATACAATCCCCATTGAACTGGATTATATGGCAGTGTGAACTCAGATAATCCAGTTCAAAGCAGATATTGTGGATTATCTGCCTTGATATTCTGGGTTATATGGCTGTGTGGAAGGGCCCCATGATGCAACCTC